GGCCCCAGGATGTGCAGCCAGTGACTTGGGGACTGTTGGTGGGGCAGCGATGAGGGAGGGAGGGGCATTGTGATGTACGAGATTGCTCTGTGAGGTCAAGGGTCTCTTGGGGTGGGGGCCAGGGCAGGGAGTACAAGATTAGCTGGATGGGTTGACAGTAGAACTCATGGGGTTTCTGGCACCCACCCACCTGCTTCCCAGTGGGGGGTGGGGGGTTGGCCTGGAGTCTTAGGTGTGGGGTGGGGTGGAGAGGTGGCCTCCCCCTGCCTCCCACTCATCCTGAAGCTTTCTTTCCCCAGATCCGAATTCGAGATCCAAACCAAGGAGGGAAGGATATCACGGAGGAGATCATGTCTGGGGCCCACACTGCCTCCACACCCACCCCTCCCCAGGTACTGTCTGCTCTTTGAGTGGGGCCATAGCTAGGATGATTGTTCTGACCTGGACTTCTTAGTCCTTTGATCTTTTCTTTCAACTAAGGGATTTATTTCCCTGTTGCCCTGGATTTTTAGACTGGCTTAAAGTAAAAATGGCTCTAGTAGAGATGGGTTGTGGGCTTCTTGAGGGTAAACTTGGTAACTTTGTGTCCTGCAGACGGGAGGCGGTCTGGAGCCTCAAGCTAATGGGGAGACACCCCAGGTTGCTGTTGTTGTCCGGCCAGGTAGGTAAGCAGGTGGGGCAGAGCTTTTATGGTGAAAAGGAGTGTGACAGTTTCAAATGCTAAGGAGGTGGAGTGACCTGACCTGGGTGCCAGAGAAGAGTGACTTAGGTTTTAGGTAGTGGGATTTTGCGGGTGGATCAGATTTTGGGTGAGAAGGGAAAAGGCTTAGGTAGAAGATTGTGGGGGTGAGTTAGGCTGGGAATGTCTTAGCTGGGAGGAGGAACAATAACATCAGTGAAGACTTGCTTTTAATTACTCGTTGTCTTTCCTGTGGTGCAGATGACCGGTCCCAGGGAGCAATCATTGGGAGCCGGCCGGGGCTGCCTGGCCCAGAGAACAGCCCTTCAGAATCCCGGCCTTCGTCACCTTGTCCAACCCCATCACCACCCCCAATCTTGGAACCGGGGTCCGAGCCTAATCTCGCAGTCCTCTCCATTCCTGGGGACACTGTGACAACGGGGATGATCCAGATGTCTGTAGAAGAATCCAGCTCCATGCCCCATGAAACTGGGGAGCCATATTGCCTCTCTCCAGAACCCACTCCCCTCGCTGAACCCATACTGGAAGTAGAAGTGACACTTAGCAAACCGATTCCAGAATCTGAGTTCTCTTCCAGTCCTCTCCAGGTTCCCACCCCCCTTGCATCTCACAAAGCGGATATTCTGCCTGAACCTAATGGCATGGTCTCGTCTGAGGATCTGGAACCAGAGGTTGAGTCGAGCCCAGAGATTGCTCCTCTCCCTCCCCCAGCTTGTCCCTCTGAATCCCCCATGCCCATTGCTCCAACTGCCCAACCTGAGGAACTGCTAAACGGAGCCCCCTCGCCACCAGCTGTGGACTTAAGCCCAGTCAGTGAGCCACAGGAGCAGGCCAAGGAGGTTCCAGCATCAGTGGCTCCCCCCGCCGGCCTCTCTGCCACTCCAGCTATGGCTCCTCCAGCTGCTTCCCCTGCCCAGGAGGAGGAAATGGAGGAAGAGGAAGAAGATGAAGAAGAAGGAGAAACAGGAGAAGCTGAGGGTGAGAAAGGAGGAGAGGAACTTCTTCCCCAAGAGAGCACCCCTGTTGCAGCCCACGTGCCTCAGAATTTGGAGGCAGCAGCAGCCACCCAAGGTAAGGTGTGATGGGATGGTGGAATTGGGGCAGGCTGAAAGATGTGGGTTTTTTCCTCTTTATTCGAGACCTCTCATTTGTGCCACTGTGCCTCATCATGGACCCTAAGAGCTAAAATTCTTGAGATTAAGGAATTTTAAGTCCATAGTGGGTATGTTGGAAAGAGGAAATATTGAACAGGAGCTGCTTTTTATTTCCCCAGTTACTCCCACTTGTTCCTCATAAGTTGTGCCCATTTTGCCCCCTTAAATAGTGGCAGTGTCTGTGCCAAAGAGGAGACGGAAAATTAAAGAGCTCAATAAGAAGGAGGCTGTAGGTGACCTTCTAGATGCCTTCAAGGAGGTAAGGGAGCAGAAAGTAATGGAGGGGAGAGGGTAGAGTTTGGGTATGGAACAGTGATCATACTGTAACCACAATGGGGTGTCCTGTGTTTACAGGTGAACCCAGGAGTACCAGAGGTGGAAAATCAGCCTCCTGTAGGCACCAGCCCTGGTCCGGAGCCTGAGGGCAACAGTGTGCCCCCCCGGCCTGAGGAAGCAGACGAGACCTGGGACTCAAAGGAAGACAAAATTCACAATGCTGAGAACATCCAGCCAGGGGAGCAGAAGTATGAGTATAAGTCAGGTATGCTAAGGGAAGAGTTGAGAAGGGTTGGATATTTTTGCCAGGGCCCCAGGAGACCAGTGTATGATTGGTTCATCTTGTCTTCCTCGTAGATCAGTGGAAGCCTCTAAACCTTGAGGAGAAAAAGCGTTATGACCGTGAGTTCCTGCTGGGCTTTCAGTTCATCTTTGCCAGTATGCAGAAGCCGGAGGGATTGCCTCATATCAGCGATGTGGTGTTGGATAAGGTTGGTAGGCTTGAGGGGGAGGGTCAGTTTGGGCTGGCTGGCTGGCTGGAGGAGGTGCCTGAGGTCTCGAAAGAGTAGTCAAGAGCCATAACCTGTTTCTGATGCCTTCTGTGTCCTCTTCACAGGCCAATAAAACACCACTGCGGCCACTGGACCCTGCTAGACTTCAAGGCATAAATTGTGGCCCAGACTTCACTCCTTCCTTTGCCAATCTTGGCCGACCAGCCCTTAGCACCCGTGGGCCCCCAAGGGGTGGGCCAGGTGGGGAGCTTCCCCGAGGGCCGGTGAGTGGGACTGGCTAGAGGGGCAGATAGTCGAGGGGATTTGGGGGATGGCTCCCTTGTCTTGCTGAGAGGTGGGGAGAAATCTGCCCTGGAGATGTGTGGTACCAGTGTCACAGGTTGTGCTGATTAGCTCTTTGTCTTCGCTTGTCCTTACCCCTTGCTTAGCAGGCTGGTCTGGGACCCCGGCGCTCTCAGCAGGGCCCCCGAAAGGAACCCCGCAAGATCATTGCCACGGTGTTAATGACTGAAGATATAAAGTTGAACAAAGCAGAGAAAGCCTGGAAACCCAGCAGCAAGCGGACAGCTGCTGATAAGGATCGAGGGGAAGAGGATGCTGATGGCAGCAAAACCCAGGTACTGGCAAGTGCTGCTTTTGGTCTTCATTTCTCCTCTTCAGGGTCTGTCTTCTGAGCCAACTTTGCTCTCTTTGTTTGTTGCCTCCCGCTCCCCCCTTTTTTTTAAATGTATATCAAGAGTGAGAGGGAGAGCATGTTTCCATGCAAGGGAAGCCCAGAGAGAGAGGGAGACAGAGTCCCAAGCAGGCTCCTTTTTGGAAGGTGCAGAGCCTGACATGGGGCTCGATCTCATGAACTGTGAGATCAGACCTGAGCCAAAATCAAGAGTTGGATGCCTAACTGACTGAGCCACCCAACTGCCCGTTTCTTTTCTTTGCTTTTTTTTTTTTTTTAAACATTTATTTATTTTTGAGAGATAGAGTATGAGCGGAGGAGGGACAGAGAGAGAGGGAGGCACAGAATTTGAAGCAGGCTCCAGGCTCTGAGCTGTCAGCACAGAGTCCGATGTGGGGCTTGAACTCAGAAACTGTGATATCATGACCTGAGCTAAGTTGGCTGCTGAACCGACTGAGCTACCCAGGCGCCGCTCAGCTGCCCATTTCTGTCATCCTTATTACTAACATCTACCTGAGTCCCAACCATACTCTACCGTACTTTCCAGTGACCTCTGTTCTTCTGAGAACCTTACTGAATCCTGTGTCTTCTCTGTCCCCTCTGCCAGGACCTGTTCCGCAGGGTGCGCTCCATCCTAAATAAGCTGACACCCCAGATGTTCCAGCAGCTGATGAAGCAGGTGACGCAGCTGGCCATTGACACGGAGGAACGCCTCAAAGGGGTCATTGACCTCATCTTCGAGAAGGCCATTTCAGAGCCCAACTTCTCTGTGGCCTATGCCAACATGTGCCGCTGCCTCATGGCGGTTAGTTTCCACTGTTACTAAACCTTGTGGTCTAGGTTCCTACTTCTCTTCCTGAGACTCTTTGAGTCCAGCTTCTTGGTTCTCTTCCAACCCGTGCTGTTGATGGCAGCCAGAAGGAGGCAGATTGGGGGCCCGAGGTCTTCCTGGGTTAGGTAAAGAGTCTTGGAGGGCCTGCCTTCTTGGAACCAGTGTAAATGTGATGTTCTCCTTGACATACAGCTGAAAGTGCCCACTACAGAAAAGCCAACTGTGACTGTGAACTTCCGAAAACTGTTGTTGAATCGATGTCAGAAGGAGTTTGAGAAAGACAAAGATGATGATGAGGTTTTTGAGAAGAAGCAAAAAGAGATGGATGAAGCTGCTACGGTGAGAGAAAACCCACCAACCCTGCTGTCCGTCTGGATGCTACTCTCCTGTAGAATTGGGGGTAGGAGTAAGGGGGGGGGTGGGGATCATGGTGTTTTGAAGGTTTCTCTGCCTTAAGACATGAGTAGTTGCTGCTAGGTTTAGGAATCCAGATATGGGGGAGGAGGGACGTTTTAGCCCAGTGGCTGGGTGCCTTTTTGACGGGTTTCTGTCCTATAACTGGCAGGCAGAAGAACGAGGACGCCTCAAGGAAGAGTTGGAAGAGGCTCGAGACATAGCCCGGCGGCGCTCTTTAGGGAACATCAAGTTTATTGGAGAGTTGTTTAAACTGAAGATGTTAACAGAGGCAATAATGCATGACTGTGTGGTTAAACTACTTAAGAACCATGATGAAGAGTCTCTTGAATGCCTCTGTCGTCTGCTCACTACCATTGGCAAAGATCTGGACTTTGAAAAAGCCAAGGTAGGGGTCCTGCGATGTATAAGGTACATGGCAGCAGTGCCGGGGCCTGCTGTCCACTGACAAACCCCTTGTTGGGCTGTCGTGTGTGGGCCACTGAGCCACAGTGGTGGAGATGAAGGCCTGAGGAGGGGTCAGGCCTGTAGTTGGAGGTGAGGTGTTATAAGTTCCTGACCTGATATTGTTGCTGCTGCTGCTGCTTTTTTTTTTTTTTTTTTTTAAGTTTAGTTTTGAGACAGCAAGAGAGAGAGTGCATGAGTTGCGGGGGGGTGGGGGGGAGAGCAGAGAAAGAGGGAGACACAGAATCTGAAACAGACTCCAGGCTCTGAGCTGTCAGCACAGAGCCTGATGGGGGGCTCGAACCCACGAACTGTGAGATCATGACCTGGGCCAAAGTTGGATGCTTAACCGACTGAGCCACCCAGGTGCCCCCCATGTTGCTTCTTCTAGCCCCGAATGGATCAGTATTTCAACCAGATGGAAAAAATAATTAAGGAAAAGAAGACTTCATCCCGGATTCGCTTCATGCTGCAAGACGTGCTGGATCTGAGACGGGTGTGTGTCCTCTCCTTCTCCCTGCTAGTCTGCTTCCTGTACCCCATAGTCCCCAATTCCCAGCATGGTTTTGTCTGGCCATCTGATGTAATTAATTACCTTGTGACTGGTCTTCCGTACTCACAGAGCAATTGGGTGCCACGCCGTGGGGACCAAGGTCCCAAGACCATTGACCAGATCCACAAAGAGGCTGAGATGGAGGAGCACTGGGAGCATGTAAAAGTGCAACAGCTAATGGCCAAGGGCAGTGACAAGCGTCGGGGTGGCCCTCCAGGCCCACCTATTAGTGAGTTTGAGGCTCAGATTAAGGAGGGGGCAGAGTAAGGGGTTCAGCTTTCCGTTGATGACTATTTGTTAGTGCCACGTGTCTGGGCCACTGAGACCACATGATGGAACTGAGGATCTGAGGAAGGGAGGCTGGGGCTGCCCCAGGTGATAGGGCTGCTAGGAATTACTCATTGCAGTATGCTCTCCTCCTTGTCCCAGGCCGAGGCCTCCCACTTGTGGATGATGGTGGCTGGAACACCGTCCCCATCAGCAAGGGCAGCCGCCCTATTGACACCTCACGGCTCACCAAGATCACCAAGGTAGGGGTTTGTGTATTGGAGGGAGGGGTGGTGGTCGTGGGAGGGTAAAGAGGGATCACATGGACATTGAGCATAGGTTTGGATCTTGGTGCCCTCATTTTCTGAGGTTGGGAAGGTGATGGTTGACTTTTTCTTGTTAGACTAGCTAGATTGCTAGTGACAGGGCTCTAGTGCCAGCCCTTGGGGGTATGCTCACATCCGTCTGGGCCAGTGTTGGAAACTCACAACGTTGCTTCTCTCTACATTTCACAGCTAAGAAATGGCTTTTGTGTTTTTTTAACGGTTGAAAAACATAAAGTGGGTATTATGTAATAAGAAATTATTAAAAGTATAAATTTCAGTATCCATGGTTTTATTGGGACATAATTATCCTCGTTTCCTGTAAGTATCATGCATGACCGCTTTTATACTACAGTGGCCAAGTGGAGTAGTTGAAATAGAAACTATATGGCCTGCAAAGCCTAAAATATTTACTATTTGGCCTTTTGCAAGAAAAGTTTCCCCTGGTCTAGGCAATTTGCTACTGTGTGGCTGCGGGCTTTGGCCAGATTAGACTCATGACTCCACTCCCCTTTCCTTCCTCAGCCGGGATCCATTGATTCTAACAACCAGCTCTTTGCACCTGGAGGGCGATTGAGTTGGGGCAAGGGCAGCAGTGGAGGCTCAGGAGCCAAGCCCTCTGACGCAGGTATGGAGGCCATTGTAAGGAGTTGGGTGGCTCTTCTCTTGAGGGCAGAGCCTTGTTTATGGGGAAGGCTTTTGGTACAAAGTGGGTAGGTAGTAATAGGCATATGTTTGGGACTAGGGAATAAACTGCATTCTTGTTGGGGCTAGGACCAAGTGTCCTAAACTGATGAGTAGGAGATAGAACGGAAGAGAGTTTGATCTGGATTTTCTGTCTCCCCAGCATCAGAAGCTGCTCGTCCAGCTACTAGTACCTTGAACCGCTTCTCAGCCCTTCAACAAGCAGTACCTACAGAAAACACAGATAGCAGACGTGTGGTACAGAGGTGAGGTTTTCTGGCTCTCTTTGTTCTTCACGCCGAGAGTGCTGTGATTGGGCTTTGGTGGTGCTACAGGAATCCTCACGTGTAATGCTCAGAACCCCTGGCTAGATTGGGGGATGTTCCTGACACCAGGAACTTGGCCCTACAGTTGCTCATCATGTTGGGTAGTTAACACAAGAGAGCAGCTATGCTGTATAGGTGATCATTGACTTGCCTGTTTTTTCTCCAGGAGTAGCTTGAGCCGGGAAAGAGGTGAGAAAGCTGGGGACCGGGGAGACCGCCTAGAGCGGAGTGAACGGGGAGGTGACCGTGGGGACCGGCTCGATCGCTCTCGGACACCTGCCACCAAGCGGAGCTTCAGCAAGGAAGTGGAGGAGCGGAGTAGAGAGCGGCCCTCCCAGCCTGAGGGACTACGCAAGGCAGCTAGCCTCACGGAGGATCGGGACCGTGGGCGGGATGCTGGTAAGGGGCTGGGAGAGGAAGGGAAGGGTATGGGACTAGGCAGTCCTCAGTCTTCAGAGCTCTGGGCCCTTCTTTCTAGGAAAACAAACTGAAATCCTCAATCTGTTTTTCCCCTTTCAGTGAAACGCGAAGCCACCCTCCCCCCTGTAAGCCCTCCGAAGGCTGCGCTCTCTGAGGAAGAGCTGGAAAAGAAATCCAAGGCCATCATTGAAGAATATCTCCATCTCAATGACATGAAGGTAAGCAGTGGGAGGGAGGGGTCTGAGTGACAGCAGAGTGGGCAGGGAGGGATGTGTGCCAAGAGGCATGGAGTGTGGAGTCTGGACCAGACGGTGACCTTCCTCTCCCTCCTGCCCTGCACACCTGTAGGAGGCCGTGCAGTGCGTCCAGGAGCTGGCCTCACCCTCCCTGCTCTTCATCTTTGTGCGGCACGGCATTGAGTCCACACTGGAGCGCAGCACCATCGCTCGTGAGCATATGGGGCGGTTGCTGCACCAGCTGCTCTTTGCTGGGCACCTCTCCACTGCTCAGTACTACCAAGGGTATGCCTTCTGCGGATCTCCTACTTTTACATACCTACAGACTTCCTCTTCTGTAGGACCCGTGGAAACTTGGATAAGAGTATAGTTCCTCAACTGTCTTGGTCAACAGATCTTTTGGCAGGGTTAGGGGTGTACCACGTAAGGACAAGAGTGTGGCTTTAGCTTGAGATAATTGCCCCATGCTTAGGAAGTGTTCTCCAAGGGCTCCACAGTTGATCCTTTAACAGTGCCGTGATGCCCCAGATGGAGGGTGGGAGATCTGGCTTGTCTTTCCTAGAATGCTCTGACTTTGAATTCATTCCACTTGTAGGCTGTATGAAATCCTAGAATTGGCTGAAGACATGGAAATTGACATCCCTCACGTGTGGCTCTACCTAGCAGAACTCATAACGCCCATTCTGCAGGAAGGTGGGGTACCTATGGGGGAGCTGTTCAGGTAAGCCCCCTTGAGTGGGATTCAAGAGAGGTAAAGACGGGGGTGCCTGGGTGGCTCAGTCAGTTAAGCATCCGACTTCAGCTCAGGTCATGATCTCAAGGTTTGTGGTTTCAAGCCCCGCGTCGGGCTTTGTGCTGACAGCTAGCTCAGAGCCTGGAGCCTGTCTTCGGATTCTGTGTCTCCCTCTCTCTCTGACCCTCCCCTGCTCATGCTGTCTCTATCTCTCTCTCAAAAATAAATAAACATTAAAAAATTTTTTTTTTAATAAAAAAAAGGTAAAGACAAAGTTGGGGCGGGGAGAGTCGTATGGCAGTTTCCATGCCTAGGTTTAGGGAGGGATGGGGTAGTGTATTGAGGGCTTTGGGGGCTATCAACACTCCCTGTAATTTTCTTTTTTTGTAGGGAGATTACAAAACCTCTGAGACCCCTGGGCAAAGCTGCTTCTCTGTTGCTGGAGATCCTGGGGCTTCTATGCAAAAGCATGGTGAGAGCCTTTTGGGGGTGATGTGTCAGGATTTCTCTTCCCACCATCTAATTTTGGCCACTTGCTGTGACCCTGAAGCCTTATGGTCCCTTGGTGGGATGGTGTTAATGGTGATGGTAGTGTTGTGTTGGTACCTGGGAGAGGAAATGTCAAGGCTGGCACTGACCAGTTACAAGTTCTGGCCAAGGCTGGAGACGAATGGGGATCCAAGATCCTAAGCCCTTGGTTGTTTGATTGATTGATTGATTGGTGAATTCAGCTAGCATTTAAAAAAATTTTTTTTCTTTTAATGTTTGTTTTAGAGAGAGAGAGCATGAGCAGGGGTGGGGCAGAGTGAGACAAAGACACAGAATCCGAAGCAGGCTCCAGGCTCTGAGCTGTCAGCACAGAGCCCAGTGTGAGGCTCGAACTCACGAACCGTGAGATCATGATCTGAGCAGAGGTCTGTTGCCCAGCCAACCAAGCCACCCAGTCTCCCTGGTTCAGCTAGCATTCTTTAAAAACATTTACTAATCACGTACTAGGCACTGGAGATACCACTGTGAATAAAGACATAGGAAACCAGTTGGAAGAGAAAAGTAAGAAATGACAGCTTAATATAAACAGTGTGAAGTAAAGCATAAAATAAAATAGTCGAAATGGAGTGTCTTGAGTACTGTGAGGTTGGTAATTTTTATGACAGAAAGTCTTTCCAGAAGGGCGCTGGGATGGCTTTGTGAAGGTTAAGTGGTGACTAGCAAATGTCATAGTGGAAACTTGGGAAAGGCAAGTTGGGCAGGGTACTCTGTGGTAGTGAGAGCTGGGAAGTGAAAACCTTTAAGAGTTTAGCTTCCCAGGGCACCTGGGTGGCTCGGTCAGTTAAGCGTTCGACTTCAGCTCAGGTCAGGACCTTGCAGTTTGAGTTGGAGCCCCACATTGGGCTCCGTGCTGACAGCTCAGAGCCTGGAGCCTGCTTTAGATTCTGTCTCTCTCTCTGGCCCTTCTCTGCTCACTCTCTGTCTCTCTTTCTCTCAAAAACATTAAAAAAGTTTAGCTCCCCTGGGACGTGGACCAATGAG